GGACAATGACTAGGGAGGACAGAAGGAGAATTGACGCCTTTGAGCTGTGGTGCTGGAGAAGAGTATTGAATGTACCATGGACTGCCAAGAAAACAAACAAATTCATCCTAGAGAGGGTTAAACCAGGCTGCTCCTTGGAGGCAAGGATTCTGGGGCTTCGTCTGACATACTTTGGACATGTTGCAAGGAGAGACAGGTCTTTGGAGAGGGAAATCATGCTAGGTAGAGTAGAGGGACAGCGCAGGAGGGGAAGACCCTCTATGAGGTGGATTGATTCAGTGACTGGGGTAATCGGGATGGGTGTGTCAGAGTTAGTGTGATTGGCACAGGATAGAGCAGGGTTTAGGGCTGTTGTACATAGGGTCGCTATGAGTCGCAAACGACTCGACGGCACATAACAACAACAACATTTAGTGTTAAGAAGATATTTTTGAAAAACATTCTTCTAAGTACAGCGCTCTCCTGTCAATTTGCTCTGCTGAGGTAACCTGGGTTTGCTGTGATGCTGAACCTTGTGCCACTGAGGTGTCAGATGCCATAACGGTTGCCCATGGTGCACAGTGCTTGGTGGAGCGCCCAGTTTAAGACAGCTTTGGAAGCAGGAGTGGCATCCATTTCCTAAACTACATGCCTCTGCAAACTCTATGAACTTGGAGAAATGATAATAGTTATAAAAACGCTTTAGGGGTTTTGTTCATAGAATCACTGGGAGCCGTGCTCGACTTGACAGCAATCAATGACAACAACAACATAACTGATTAGATGACCCTTTTTTTAGGGAGTAGGCACAAACATAGGCTTATTCCAGTCAGTTGGCCAGGTAGCTGTCTTCCAAATTTTCTGGTTTAGACAAGTGAATGCTTCCAATCTAGATGTAGAAACACATCAGTTCTGTCAGTCCCACTTGTTGGAGTGACTCCATAATATTTGCAAAAGTGTCAGCTGAGCCTTGATGGGCTGGGAGGAATGGACGCCCCTTTATGAGCATTTCTGTGTGAGTTTCCTGGCCCTTCCGCACTGACCTCTGAGCTGAAGTGAGGTCCTGCTGCAGGCCCTTGAGAGAGACCTCTGCCACGTGGTAGGCAGGCTGCTGCCCTGTGAGCACTTCTGGCCAGACTGCTCAGTGGGCATTGATCGGTGGCAGAATGTTATGGTACAAAGTAGCTGTTGCTACTCCTCTGTCTTCTATCTGTGCCTTTCGGGTTGTGACCTCAGGTGGGTATTCACCAACTGTGGGGTAGGTGAACCTCAGCGGATGCCTGAATGAGCCCCTTGCTCTTGGTTTCTGAGTGCTCTGGTAGCTGCTGGGGGGGCACCTAGCATCGCCCTGGGAGACTGGAGTCCAGGGGTCACCTAGGGGTGGGCACAGAGACTTAGCTCCAAATCAAACCTGTATTTGTTCAGTCAATTCCAACAGAGCCACCTTGTGTGTTACGGAGTGGCAGACAGAGTGAACGTGACATGAGCTCAGCCACCTCTGTTAACTCCACGAGGGCCCCATCAGCAACATCCACCGTGTAAAAGCAATTCCTGCGAGGTCTTACATGGGCCCCGGGCTCCTGCACCTACTGTTTTTTGGTTGTTTTTTTTTTTTTTTTGTGAGAAAAATTGATATTTAGAATTAGCCCGCTGGACTCGGTGTAGATGATCCCAATTTTGTTGGCAACATCCAAAGCATCATAATCAGGAGCAAGTCGAACATAGGCCTTCTTCTCTCCATCAGGTCTAATCAGAGTGTTGACCTTGGCCACATCAATGTCATAGAGCTTCTTTACAGCTTGTTGAATTTGGTGCTTATTGGCCTTGACATCCACAATGAACACAAGTGTGTTGTTGTCTTCTCTCTTCTTCATAGCTGACTCAGTGGTCAGGGGAAATTTGATGATGGCATAGTGGTCAAGCTTGTTTCTCCTCGGGGCGCTCTTCCAGGGGTATTTGGGCTGCCGTCGGAGTCTCAGCATCTTAGGCCACCGGAACGTGGGTGACGTGCGGATCTTTTTTTTTTTTTGGCTGTGGACGCCCTTCAGGACTGCCTTCTTGGCCTTTAATGCCTTTGCTTTGGCTTCAGTTTTGGGAGGGGCAGGGGCTTCCTTCTTGGCTTTTGGCGCCATCTTCGTAGAAAGGGCGCACCTACTGTTTTTAACTCTTAGAGCTCTCACTGCTCTGCTGCTGGATGTAATCCATTACAATAGTCACACAGATCTCACAGAATCATAGTCATGGTTATAAGACTTATTACAGAAGTTGTTGTTAGACGTCATGAGTCAAGTACAACTCATAATGACCCTGGGAACAACAGATCTGAAACTTGTCCTATCCTGTGCCATTCTCACCATCTGTGACACACTTGAGTCCATTGCTGCAGTCACTATGTCAGTCCATGTCATTGAGAGCCTTCCCTCTTCTGCTGACCCTCCACGTTTCCAAGCATGATGTCCTTCTCTAAGGAATAGTCTCTCCGAATAGCATGCCCAAAATAGATGAAATGAAGCTTTGCCATCCGTGCTTCCAAGAAAAATTCTAGCACTTTCTCCAAGACAAACCAGTTTATCCTTTTGGCAGTCTGTGGGATATTCAGTCCTCTTCTCCAGTACCGTAACTCCAAAGTATCAGTACTTCTGTCATACTTAGTCATTGCCAGCTTTCAGATGCATAGCAAATGATTGAAAAAACCATGGCCTGGGGCAGGTACACCTTAGTCTCAAACTGACATCATTGCTCCAAGCAGTTTGGAGAGATCCCTGAAAGTAGGCTTGCCCAGTGTAATACATCTCCTGATCTCCTGACTGCTGGTGGTAGGTAGCTAGAGCGTTGATTATAGATCCAAGTCAGATGAAATAGTTGACAATTTCAGTCTTTTCTTAATCTGTCGTGATGTTGCTTATTGGTCCACTGTTGAAGATTTTTGTCTTCTTGATATTGAGGTTACAGGTCAAGTCGGCAATAGCAGGATGTGTTTCCTCAGGACAGTTTCTCAAGTGAACGCGCAGGCCCTTTGGCCTTTCACCTCATGGTTTAGATCAGGGTTAAAAGATCTCAGAGCATTTTGCTGAGTGAACTAACTTAGTTTTAGAAGGACAAATACTGTATAAAATCATCACTGTAGAATGAGGATGAGGCTCCAAGGGGGG